TGTGGGTTAATTTGATTTCGGCGGGTTAATTGAGGAAGGGGGAGTCGTTGCCTGCTCTGATTTCTGCCACCGGCTCTTCTAACTGGTGGCTTCTCGCAGCTGACTCGTCTTTTGTTCATAGCCGCTTCCACCGTTTTCATTAAAATTCCACCTCTGGGGCCTTAAGGGCCTTTAGGTTACTGTCTTGGTTGGAGGTGTCAAGTGGCAACAACAGGTGTTGTTTAATACTACGAATATTACATATAAGAGCAGTCTGTGGTGTCTGTTTACAGCCATACAAACGGACGGGAACTGCTGACACAAGCCGCCTCTGGATGGCCTGACGCGCGTCCTTTTCTCAGGCTCTCGCGGTGCAACGTGAGATTCCCAAAGAAGCGCCCGTCTCTCTCGGACGACGTTCTCAGCTTCTGCCTCCCCGAGAGAGGAAGCGCTCGCGTCCGTTGCAATCCTGAACGTGAAAGTGTCCCCCTAAGAAGGCTCAGACGTCTGCGCACAACCAGATTAAATGCTTCTTTCTCAACGTCTTTCTGTAAACATCTACGGGCTGTTTTTTTAAGTGGTGGAAGTAATTAGGATTCTTCATCATGGGTGATTTTTTTTTTTTTTTTTCCTTTTTTTTTCCGTGAGAGTGAAAGGAAGCGCTGTACCAGTGCAGGCCCGTGTTTACATGTGCTGTCATGACATGCCTGCCTCCGTCCCGGGCGGCTGCTCAGCCTTGTCCGTGTGGAAGAAGTCCAACACAAACACACACTCTGCTGCATGGTGGGAAGTTTTAAGAGGTCCGTCCATAAGGTCCCAGAAGGTTTTTTTTTTCTCTTTGAGAAAGAACAGGAGGAGTGAAAATACTTTCAGTCTGCAGGAGCGTACATGCAGAGTGCATGTCAAGTGGGCCTTCCGCTCGGCTGTGCTATCCGAGTAGCTTCGGTTTCCTCCGCGTCGCTTTAAACAATCGGCAGCCGACGGTGTTTTAGGCCGACTCCACGACCAACCTTTTTGATTTTCCTTCCTGCTCAAGTCACGTGGTTCATCCAAGGGCTTCTTGTTCGAGGCGCTGACTTCCACATTTCCTCTTTGATCACAAGCATATGTCTGGTGCACCGAGGTTGACCTCTGCTCCGGATGCAGATGATGTTTTTCTTTTCCAAGCTGTGGCTAAATGCACCTTTTTTATATATAGGAAATTATTCTCAACTCTCTGCTTTTAAGTTAAAGTTCCATTTTTTTTTTTGTCAATTCAAAAGCTTTTTTAATTGAATAGTTTTAATTGAATACCTCGAATGGAGCACATATGCCTCCCCCCCTGTGCCAACACACAGATATTCAGGTCGGCTGTTTTTATTTCCCTCTGTTTGCCCGGGACGTAAGCGAGCGGAACAACACGCCGTCGAGGGGGAGAGCGCGTGAGATCCTCCCGGGTGTCTTCAATAGGGCGTCCGTGGCGGCGAGAGAGAGAGAGAGAGAGAGAGAGAGCGGGCGGAGATGAGAGGGAGAGCGTAGACGAGGAAGATAATAGAGGTGAGAGCGAGGTCAGAGCTTTGCTCCTCCGCCTTAGCAAAGGGAGGAAGAGCTCCGCTTTTTGGTCCCGCACTCAATCAGAAATTGAACCGGCTAACCAGAAGAACCAGGGGCTTGGAGAAGCGCCGGCTTTTATTGACACTGAAACAAAATCCACGTGTTTTTTTTTTTTGTCCCTTGACCTCTTTGCCTCCCCCCCTCTGCGGTAGTTTTTCAAAGGAGACTGAGACCTCTGCCTAGAATAATGGCTGATTTGCTCTTTCACACCCGGAGGATTGGGAGGAATTTCAAGCCTGCCGTTGCTTTTTGTGCAACGTAGATCCGCTCACTGTCCTCCCAGACGCCCCATCATCACCGCATGTGCGATAAGGAATTTCTCTCAAGATTAACGAGAGTGAAATCCGCTGCCTAACCCACTCCATTGCGCTATTACACTATTGCCGGTTCTTGGTATAATTGATCGTTCCGTTGGCATCTAAATATTCTAAGCAGCGACATTTCATGAATAATAATGGAAGGACTAAAAACAAATGGAGGTTCTTGTTATTTGTGGGGGACAGGAACTTGCTTTCTCGCATGTGTTAAAAGCGTGATCATTTATTCATACTGTGCAAATGTTAGAATTAGCTGTAATATTATTTGATATTCCTTCAGCGCTGTTACTACTGCGATGCCACAGTCTCCAAACGCGTGGTTGTTGCATGTAGGCAGATTTCAGCTGTCATCAATCACAAATAACTGGAAAGTCTGTGGGCCTCCTGATGCATGTCGGGGTTCTTCCAGCACTCCTGCATCACAGCTGCTGTGCGTGCGGTCAGTGTTTGTGTGCAGGCATCCTCTAATCGGGGGAGTGTGTGGGAGGGGGAGGGTCAGATCAGTTGCACAGGACCAACAAATACACAGCCACACGTCACCTGAAAATACAACAATAGACCTCAGGTCATATTTTCGCAGGAGAAATTGAACAGGTTTTTGCCTCGAAGCCATCCTCCACTCTGAAATGTGTTTTTAATTATTGTTACTCGGCGCTTGAATGTTTGACCCTCCCTGTGAACAATGATGTATGTGCAGTGGGACACTGGAAGGCTCAGATCCGTTTCTCTGCCAATCCTTACGTGTCAGATATTACAGCTAGTTTGGTTAATTTGGTCTGCAACATACGTGTGATGCGCACACACACACACACGGGCACTAACAATGGACCCTTCACTGTAGAAGTTGCAGGCACAATAGTCAAGGAGTTAAAAATATTATCGGTAGTCAAAAATATGTTTGCACATTGGCGGTGTTATTGGATGTATTCATGTCACCCTCAGGCTGAATTGTTGTAACGCTGCTGATCTCTTAATAGCGACATCATCCGGTCTGAATTTCAATCTGTTCAAAACCTTGATGTTTGATTAAAAAAAAAAAAATCAATGGCATTCAAGATGGTGAACATACAGCACCGTTGAAAGCTTGTCCGTCTGCCCATGTTAACGTGCACGGGCTGAAAGCATAAACGTGCACGAGCGCAGCCTCACGCAGCCCATGAAAACCACACGCCATCATTTTATATGTTAAAAATGTCTTGAGGGGTTCTTTAACAACCAATTCCGCAGGGCGCACGCGTCGCCTCCATACTTCCAACAACCGGTGCGCCTTTTTGTTTTCAATCTCTTTATTTGACGTGTCACTCGTCCTCTGAGGCGGCCGCGGCGGGACCTCTGACTGGGGGGCGTGACGAGGCGGTGCGGGCAGATGTCTTTCTTCTTTTGCTCCGGGAGAAGCGACGTCCTTGACTCTGCCGATGCTAATTTCGGGGCTTGGCTTATCACAGCGCAAACGTTTGTATCTCCCATTACACACGCTGTCATTACAGGAGGGACGCGCTTGTAATTACCGGTCCTTTCCGCAGTCGGCGGGGGGGTCACGTGTGCACCTCGCCGTCTGCTCACTTATGAGAGGCTGTGATGTGGTTTTTTTTTTTTAAAATTTAGCAGAGGCTTCCTCAAAAGCAGGCTTGTTGGCTAGATTCTGGATTTGGGTATAACCCTGCGACCCTTTTGCGTGCACCCCCCCGTCTCTGTCTAAAGCCCATGGCGGCCTCCTTTTGTTCACCCACTCAAAGACACTATGGCAGGCTTTAATTATCTTGGAGCTGCTCCTTTCTACCTGTCCCGCGTGTTTAAAAATGGGTCAGTGTTTCTGTCCGCCTCCCTCAGCCGGTCCTTCACCGAGTCAGTGTGCCAAACGTGATCCTGGCGGCCGGGTGAGCACGGGAGAGGAGGGCAGCGCGACGCACACTGGGAGACTCCCACCCACCCCCGCCTGCTAAATCTCTGTCCTGTTCGACAATGCCTTTTGTGCACTCTGCTCATTCATGCAGAGACAAGGACACAAACAAACATGGAAAAGAGTTTCCGGAGCACGCATGAGCATCACAGGGGTACTGACGTGTGTGTGTGTGTGTGTGTGTTTTTTTTGTTTTGTTTTTTTGCGGGTTTGCGGTTGTATGCTGATTTTACAAAATGTACAATCCTAGAAGTAGAACTTTAAATGTGAGATTTCGCTCAAACACCTCTGATCGCATGAGATCAAATGGAGAAGATGTCAGTTGTTGGGCCGGGCTCCGATCACTGACCCCAACATTTCCTCCTCTCCTCCCGGCTCTGTAGCTGCCTTCTGTACCCCCCTCTCCTCCTCCCCTCCTCCTCCCCTCTTCACTCCCAGCCTTTCACTCAAGGCCGCCTTTTATGTCTCACCGTCCGCCTCCGCCTCTTCTCTCAACACCCTTTATCATATCTTTACAGCACGAACCGCGGCGAAATGAGGCCTTCAGTTAAATAACCACACAGCAGGGAGACGTTAAATATGTTGAAACGCTTACACAAGGATCACAGGCGGGTAAACAGGGAGCCGGTGAAGATATAACATAATTGGGCAGAGTCGGTGCAGCTATTGATTGAATCGACATTGTCTGCTGCTCCCTTTCATGTGGGAGAAATCCATGTTTACTGAAGTGCAGTACTTCAAGGTTAACATGGCACTAATGAGGCTGCTATCGCGTTATGGATTTATGCATAATGATGCTTTTTCTTTTTCCACCTACTGGATGTGTAACGTTAGATAGTGAAATGAAAATGTGCTATTCCAAGTTCTGGATTAATAGTCATTAATGACATTTATATTAGACATTTGTGGTTGCAACTAAACATTTTTTTGAATGACAATATCTGAATCGAGTTCATCAAATAGAGAAAAGGTGCTATCTGAGGCTGAAATGAGGAAATATTTGGTGTTTTTGCTTGAAAAATGACTAAAATGATCAGTACATTTACAACATGATTGCGTATTCTGCACAAATCAATAATTTGTGTCAACATTTACGCTGCACTTGATTGCAGTTCAGCGTCCAATAAGTCCACATAAAAACAATGCCGTTGTATTTCAATGTTGCTGAATGGACCGCTCACGCCTCTCATCGTTTCCCCCTCCCCCCGCAGGCCGAGTTGACGGGCATCAAATGGCGTTGCTATAGCTTCCGCGGCAGCGGGGAGTGCGGGCCGGTGATCTCCTCCCCGGCCCAGGACGACCCGGTTCTGCGCAGCTTCATGCGCTGCGTGCAGGCCAACCTGCTGTGCGTGTGGCGCCGCAAAGTCAAGCCCGACGCCAAGGAGCTGTGGATCTTCTGGTGGGGCGAAGAGCCCCGCCTCTCCGACGTCATTCACCAGGAGCTGGAAGGTGAGGAAGCAGTGGGACACGTGTGGCGAGCAGCTGGACGCCATGGCTTTGAATTGTATATGCAGAGTGGCAAATGGTGTTTTTTTTTTATTTTTAATTTTTTTTATAGTGCAACAAAGCGCCTGCATGTTTTACAGGAGCTGTGTTGCGCCGCTTGGTGTTGTGCGGATGCACGCGGCTCAAAGTGCGTGCCGTTGTGCCGAGATGCGGAGGTTGCATCGATCCGGCCCCGTATTTGAGCCTCCTGCAGCACATCTCCGAATCACTTTGGCTTTGCAACTCCAGTGTCTAAATGCGGCTTCAGGACTATCGCAGTGATGAAGCGCGACGCGAGAGGAGCAGGTTTTCCTCATCTGTGTGCGCGCGTGTGCTTAATGTCTTCCGTGAAAATTACACCGCGATATCTCACTTGAAAGCGTGCTACTGTCAGCGCTATTGTCCCTATTTATAGAAATATTTTCATTATCCCACTGCGCACGTGTGTAGAAGTCGTCTAACATATCGACTAAGGCTGTGGAGGAGGAAACAGGAGGGGGATTATATTGGGTTGGGTTTAGCAGAACAACAGTTGGGTGGGGGGGGGGGGGGAATAGGAATATTGGATTGAGAGGTCGAAGCAATAGTGAGAATTTCAGTCCTTACCTCTTAAAGCTGACTTAATGAAAATGCCTCACAGGCACTAAGGCAGATATTTGACAGATGTTTTGACTGCTGTTGGGGGAGGGGGGGCCAAGGTGTCTAACAGAGAAAGATACGGTGTTCGTTTCAATCAAGTCCTCATTGCATCACCAACAGGCGCTTGGATAACGTCTCCCTCTCCGTCCCGACATTCAAGCCATGTCTCTCGTGTCCTTTTGGATCATTTTAAGCTGCGGCGCTCGCCGGCGTTAAAACAACCGAAAACAACAACAAAAACACACACTGAGTGCGTGTGATGAGCAAAGAGCGGCAGGAATTGGGCAAAAGGTGTATGGCGAGAAGCAGCAGTATGACATCCGAGCATTACATCACCAATTTGCAGACTGCCACAGCTGGCAGCCTGAAAGCCTGTCAAATACTACTCGCTTTGAGAAGCACACTGAGATCTGATAGAGTTAACAATAATCTCTGCTTATGTCATTGTATTTTACAGCCTTTTGATTAATTAAGGTTGAGGAACGCGTCGGTCCGAAGGATCGGTTTCTATGGAGACCTTTTGATGCTCAATTTACTACATTTACACATAGAAATAACCCACTAATCTGGGTCAAGTACAATTCTATTGGCGGAATATCATTTATAGGACAAAACAATTTGTGTTTCCTTGGTTTTGTACATTTCCGCTCTTTGTTTTCAATTTGCCGATTTCATCAAAATTGATGAAATATCTGAAAATCGTGACAAATGTCCTTCACAATCTCTCTTTGAGCTTGACAGTTCAAATCTGCAATGAAAATCTCAATCGAGTTGTTTTTACACTTAGTCTGAATGGACGTTGCAGTCCATTAAAACATATTTCAAGTCGTACTGGGCTGCTGGGAGAGTCCATGTTGGTGAGAAGGAAACGTTCACGAGGATAACTATCAAACGCACACGTGCTGCATACAACAACTATAAAGATAAGACCGTTTAACTTTAAATGTGTTTCCCCGCACAGTCCCTATTGAGAAGTGAGAGTAACACTTGGGGTGTGTGAACGAGTAATTGTTAATTAAGGCTGGATTTTCTTCAAATTAGATTGTGTTGTAACACGGGGACTATCTGATTTGAAATGAGTCTTAAGGAGCGGCACACCTGAGTTTCTATTTGCTGTGGGAATGTTTTGTGTCTTGGATTTTTCTCCCTCGTGTCGCCTTGACTTCTTCCCGTCTCTTTCTCCCCTTTGTCGGTCTGTTCCTGCTGAGATGTCTCCCCCTTTTTGGTCCTGACAAAAAACTCTTATTGACACGAGCTGAGTGACCTTATTATACTGTTGACATGCGACATTAGAGCTTCATTCTTCTTCAGTCTGAAAGCAAAGAAGTGTTTGCACAATGTGGAAAAAAATAGTTTGTGCCATTATTCTTATGTACATATTTTATATACTGTAGCGGTTCAGCTAAAGTGTTATCGTGGTATACAGATTAATTCAAACCCGTCATGAACTACACTTGTGTAGACAACAGTCTTATGCACATTATACATATCATATATATTACTTTTTACTCCACTACGGTTATTGTTTAGATTATTATTTTAATTACAGATAAATGGCAGATGCAGTTAAAGATCTAAACGACGATCAGGAACTGCGGGATTCATGACCTACGACGTGACGCCATGAATCCCGCACAGTGTGGCCGCTGTGTAGAACCGTTCTAGTCCAGATAAATTACGCCGTTGAGGTTGCGCCTGCCGTATGAGCAGCTATGATCTAGCATTACCTCTCCGCTCCTCGCTCACCGTACTCTACCTCCTTCATATTTTCTTTGGTTCAGTGATAAGTGCTTCGACGCACCGTGGAGTGTCTTGAAATCAGACTGCAGTGTGTGTGTGTGTGTATATGTGTGCGTGTGGGTTACATGTTGAGAGGAAACCGGATTAATGTGTGGAATCAGCTAAATCGTCAGCATGTTGTCAGCGCAGCCAAACGCCAAGGGACATATTTTGGACACGAGACATAAATATAAATGCACACACGCACAAAAGCATGTATGCGGACTGTCGTGCACAGACACGCACATTCTCATACCAGCACATGCACATTAGTATGTGAATGTGCACTCAATCTGAGCCTTGCTTGTCACCTGCTCTGTGGCTTTGTGTCTTCTGACACGGCAACGGCATTGATGCAGTCAGTGTCTGCTGCATTATTCTTTTGTTAATTATTCTAAGCATTTTTACTTTTGTTTGGAAATGCAGAAGTAAGCACAACGAGGTGTTCTTGTACCAAAAGTCCGTATTCATGTTATTATTTCCAACTGCCCATTTCTTGCCATTACAATACAATTGGGCATCAAAACTCTAGTTTTGGTGATTGTTTATTGAGAGACTAAATTCTGTGACTTGCTATGTTACAAAATAGACCAAAACTCATGGTTTTCATTTTTAAAAATCAAGATTTTAATGTAAATGAAGAATCAGTGACAAAGCAATTGGAAACGATGCATTTTCTGCATCACTCCATTTCTCATTTGCTTCATCTGTTTATTCCCAAATTGTTAAACTTGGACTGCAGAGAGGAGATCTATTTTCACTGCTCATAACCTCCACTGGAGTTCCCCAGGGTTCACTACTGGGCCTCCCTCTCTTCTCTTTATTGTCGTCTAGTCTTTGGCTCTTGCTTCACATCACATAGCTTTTCTTGTTGCTCCGAGACAAGCAACACTACCTTTTTATTCTCGCTCTATCTTCTGCTATCTATCAGCTCTAACAGTGGGGAGTGTGCCACATGGGGACTAGTAAAGCCAAGCAGTGTTCTTGCATTCCTGCCTTCCCAACATCTGCAGTCGGATAATTGTCCTCCACCTTTAGCTCAACCTTGACAATCCTGTGCTGCTGTTTCATCTTTGGGCAAAACCCATGGGAGACCTCCCTGTCAATACTGGCAACACTGAGTAAGTTGGATAACAAAGCGCTCTGTCAGTCCAACATCATAGTCATGATTTGGACCAAACATCGCTCCCAAATTAGACCACCGACAGCCATAATTTATCTCATCCAGCCGCAGCCAGACTTATCCTCGATATTCCTACATGTCTCCCGTCGAATTGCATCTGCTGTACTGCCTTTAAAAACAACTCGTACTGTACTTTTCAGGCCATGACCTAGACTTCCATGCTCTCTGTTCTGATACAATTGTCCAATTATTCATCTCTCTCCTTGCAGTGTCCTTTTTAGCTGCCTTTTTTCCTCCCAGTGGACGACTGTCTTTCCCGCCTGACTTGGCTGCGTATGACTCATTACCGTGTCTCTATAACAACGTCACTCTTTACGTGCCTGCAAAATTTTTATAGCACTCTTCCAAACAATCCATCTCGTCCTCCTCCCGGATTTGTTTTTCAAAGGATGTAAATATGCTTGTTGTAATGGGTGGAAGCTGAATTCAACTTGCACTTTTTATTGTTTTCTATTCCCAGTGTACAACATGTTTAATGTTTGCATTCATTACATCTGCAGATGCACGCTGTCTTAAATAAAGGCTGAGTCAGTAAGAGGGGCAGTGCAGCAGCTCCTAGAGGGGCTTGGTGACTTAAGAATTTCAAATAACTCAACTTTTGCACCCATCCAAAATTCCTTTGCATGAAAAGCGTCAGCAAGATCAGTAAAATGTAAATTACAGATTCGTTAGGCAGTCTGCAAATGCGCTTAAAACTCGAAAAAAGCCTACGATAATGGAATTGATTATGGATTTGCTGAGGAGTGTGTGGGTGTATGTACCTTATCTAGTTAGGAATATCTTCAGTAGAAAATCTAGGGGGCTGATGACTTTGATAACACCATAGGCGGTGCTGCTGTGTGCCACAAAGCCAGCATGTGGTCAAGGTGAATGCAGGAGGAAGCGTTATTCACTTAACGCTCCACTCTATGCTGTATGATCACAATCATTTCAATTGAGGTTGATATAATATATTTTTCGACCCATATCAAATTATATGAGTTATTTTTTTTATGGGATTTAAGATGAGTTACCTGCATTGCTCCCAGTGGGAATATCTATGTTTCTTTTCAAACAAGACAGCCTTCCACCTCCCCGAGTCTTCATTTTCTTTCTTGAAACTGTAGTAAAGCTGAGAGGAATACAAAGTAGGGGAAATCCAGCCTCAAAAAGATTGTGACTGGAATCAATCCTAGCTGGGGGTGAATGTTGTTCCACAGACGGGAGTCTTAACTACACTGTCTCAGGGAAATGATGTGCATATTTAATTCAAGAGCCCAATGTAAATATTACCAACTGAGAAGGAAGGGGAGGCCGGGCAGTGCAGAGACGAATGAGCGTAACGCAACATGTTTAAATAAACCACAAAAAAATGACTCACCTG